GCTCATTGGTGGGGGATGGTGCACATGGAGGGATTCTTGGTCATTGGGGGGGGATGGTGTACTTGGGGCAATTCTTGGTCATGCAGGGATCAGATTGAATGCCTCCCAGCTCCCTTCAGATTGCTGTTCAAGGATGCTCTCCTAAAGCTTTCCTCACTTGTGCATTTCCTTTTCACCCTCAATCATATAACACCTTGCTCAAACTTCTCAGTTTCCCTGCTTTACAACCAGATTGTAAACCCCCTGAGGGAAAAAAATCAGTGGTTTTCATTCCCAATTCAACGAACATTTAAATTGCTAGACCCTAGGGAATAGCCTGGTGGGAGTGGAGAGAATGCTGGCCCTGGAGTCAGGAAGATCTGGGTATGATTTCTGCCTTAGACATTTAATCGCTGTGTAACCTTGGACAAGTGACTTAAAGGTCCCTGAGTCTCAGTTTCCCCATCAGTAAAATGGGGATAGTATAAAGAGCTTTCTATTCTCATAGGATTGCTGGGAGGCTCAAACTGGGTATGTGAAGGAAGCCTTTTACAAGCTTCTAGAGGGCTGAGTTCATTAAGCACCTACCTTGTTGCCAGGTGGGGTGTTACAGATATTATTTCTTTTGATCCTCACAACAACTCTGGGAGGGAAGTGCTATTATTGTCCCCATCTCAAAAGCTGGGGAAACTGAGCTTAAGTGACTTGCCCAGGGTCACACAGCAGGGCAAAAGAGAGCTCCAGAACAAAGGCTCTGGGGTATTTGGAGAGAGAGTGATCATTTGAATTAAGCTAGGGGGTGAGAAGTCACACTGAGTGGGTGGTACTTGAGCTGAGCACATGCCAGGCACCGGGTGAGGGCTCATGCCAATGATCTACTGTGGGATGTGGCCTAAAGAATGTAGGACAGTTTGGCTGGATCAAAGAGGGCATGATGGGGTGCTGTGGGAAACAAGGTAAGGCTGGGGGTCTAGCTAGATTTTGTGTTTGTGGAAACTGATTTGTTGAATTGAGACTTTTTGTCCCTTCCCCCCCCACACACTTGTGCCTCCCTACCTCCAGTGCTCAATGAATAACTTGCTGAATGAATGATGGGCAGCGTGTTATTTTATTATATGCTGCTCCCCTGGTGTGTTAACTTGGAGAGCCTTAGTACAGCCAAATTTGCATGCTCTTAGCTGAACTCCATTGGCTGAGCATTTTCCCCAAACTCTTGGGGTCCTTCCTTCCCTCCTCGGTTCCAGGCCGTCACTTGACCCGTGCCTTTGTACCGGCTCCATTCCTCTTCTTGGCCTCTTACCTCATCCAGGAAAATGCTTCCTGGACCAGGGGGTCCAGCATGCTACATTGGGGAGCTCATAGTGACTTCAGGCAGTGTTGGGAGACGGGAAAGTGAAGCAAAGCCTTCCCCAAACCTCCTTCCTGCCCCACAAAACCCTGTAGCTAAATAGCTGGTTTTTCTATAGTGCTTGAAGCTGACCAAAGCACTTAACTTACTATCTCTCGTTTGACCCTCACAGTGGCTCTGGGAGGTGATATGTTACCATGGAAATTTCTGGATTCAGAGTCAGAGGACGTGGATTTGAATTCTGCCGCTGCCATTTATTGCCTTATACGGTAGGCAAGATGCTCCTGAGGGGCCCTAGATCTGTGAATGGAAGTCACTTCCTCTCTCTGGCCCTCAGTCTGTCAAACAAGGGGCTTGGGCCAGGCCTCTGCTGGCCCTTCCTGCTTTGAATCTAGTATCTGATGAGGTACCACTGCAGGTAGAATTTGTATCCCCATTTTACAGCTGAGAAAGCTGAGTCTCAGAAAGACTAAGTGATTTGGCTGGCCAGTGTCAGAGACCCGACACCACCAGGACATGCTGCGGTTCATTGGTATCAAAGCTTACTCTGGTCTCACCTCCTCATCTCTACAGGTTTTTCAGGTTAGAGGCTTCTCCCCGCCCTCCTGTCTTTAGTCTTCACATTCCCAACATGTTGGGTCACTGAGATTGGGAAGGAAATGGGACAGAATCTATCTACCAAGTCAAGTATCCTCCCCTGAAGGGCAACCAACCTGCCAATCCAGTCCAGGAGTGGCCTTCTCCAATGCAAATGTTTCCATTCTAGCTCTACTGGGCTTCCTGCCCAGCCATGTCTGCCTGGCTCTACATTTCCATGGTGTGTGGCACTCAAGTCACTGGATCACATCATGGCTGGGACAGATGGGATCAAGTTCCACTTGTGCTCACAGCTGGTGGAAGTTAATAGGTCAGGTGGCTATCTCCCAAGGCCTAGCTCCATTATTTACTGGGAAGCAGGCCTAGGACAGCCAGTCAGACAAATATCACAGTGGCGGTATGGAATGATGGCAGAAGAGCAGGATTTGAAGCCAAAAGGCCTAGGCTTAAATCCTGGCTCTGCCATCTTGACAAGTCACTAAGCCTCTCTGGACCTCAGTTTCCTCTCCCTGTAAAATGGAAATAATAAGAACACCAACTTCACAGGGTTGTGATGAGCATCAAATTGAGATAATGTATAGAAAGTCCTTTGCAAACATCAAATGAATGTTAAATCCCATTCCAAAGCCAGTGCAATTTAAAGTAATTCAGTAGACATTTATTAAGCTTCTACTGTATACAATGCACCATACTAGGTACTGGAGATACAAAGATGGGCCTTGTTCTTAAGAAGCTTAAATATATAGATAATACTAAATAGAAAACATAGAAAAGGAAATAAATACCTGTATCCATCCACGGGACAAGAAGGTTGGTGAACGTGTGAACTACTTATTGTAAAGTGAACTCCTTATGAACAAAGTGGTGGGGGGGGGAGTGTAGAGAACAGCTTATCTGAAAAAAGATCTGAGGGTCTTAGGGAATTGCATGTTTAATGAGTCAACAACACGGATAAGACAGCCAACAGGGTGAATGGGACCTTGGGCTACATTGAGGGGTCTAGCTCCAAGGAAAAGGGAATTGACAGGCAATTCCATTGTATTCTGCCCTGATTAGACCTTAGTTAAGGTGGGTCATTGGGAAGCTGAAAAGCATCACCGGGATGGTGAAAGGCCTTGAGTCTATGCCAGAGGAGGATCGGTTGAAGGAACTGGACATGTTTAGCCTGGAAAAGACAGGTCTTGGAGGGAGAGGTGGTGGGCAGAATATGACAGCTGTCTTCAAGTACCTCCAAGGTCAGTCTAGGGAGGAAGGCAGAACTAGGAGCAATGGAATGGGAGGGTGGGGGGGCACTGCAAAGAGGCAAATTTGGGTTTGTTAAGATAACCTCTCAACAATTAGAGTCTCCCCAAGTGGAAGGGCCTGCCCCAAGAGGTGGGGAGTTCCCTTTCTGCAGAGACTGGACAAGCATGTAGTAGTGATAGCTTCTTTACGAGTATGGGTTGGACTAGATGGTTTGAAGCCCCTTCAGATTCTCCAATTCTGTACATCTGGGATGAGGCTCATCTCTTCTCTGTATACTCGGGTGGGATTTAGTAATTGAGATTGACTTGATTAATATCTAGCCCCCTTGGAGGGAAAACTCCTCCCCTTTCACATCCGCCAGGAAGAAGCTGTCCCAAACATACCCCCCTCTACCCCTGAAATAAAAAAAGTTAAGTGACAGTATCTAGAAATAAAGTTGGGGGGGCACATGTAAAAATATTTTCAGTCACAGGACAGCATTGTTGAAATATAATTCATAATCACACACAACAGATGCTAAAAGAACAGCTGGGTTGTGAGAGAGGAAGCTGGCTTGGAGGGATTTATGATGATGAGGAATGGGGGGATAGGGGAACCTGAGCAAGCCACTGCCCCTGGTGGCCCATGAAGGAAAGTCCTGTGAAGGGTATGCTGAGAAGATAGCTTAGGCCTGAAGGGCCACAGGTCAAACTGGGTGCGCACTGTTCAGGAAAAATCTGCAGGTCCTGGGCCCCTTCTCCTGAAGCTTGTGAGCTCTAGGGTAGGTGGTTCCTTATGGGTTTTTGCTAATGATGGGCCTTCACTGGTCACTAAAAGATAGTGTAGCCGCTCAGCCTTGGAAGTGTAGTCATCCCATCTGTGTTGGGAGGTTCCAGATGGCTCCCAGTGGTATGTGTGTGGGTGTGGGTATATGTATGTACACTCTCGAGGGGACAAGTGTGTGGGTATGTGGGGGGGGGGGAGATGAGAGCTAGGTATAGCCCTTCTTCTGTGGTCTAGACCCTGTGAACTGTGAGCTTCTCACAGCTTGAGGGCCCAGGCTCCTACCCCTAATGGTCAGGTGACTGCTTTTCTAGGTGGATCATCCTCATACTCTGAGTTGTAGATTTCCTCTCGGCAATCCCCCACTTCCCCACACCCCTCCCCAAAGACCCAGTGGGGGAAGCATCAGACCACGCTGTGCCTCAACTGACTCTCAAAGGTTGACTCTAGATTCCCTGACCTGGCCCGAGAGGCCCAGGGGCAACAGACACAGTGCAGGTAATCAACTACATTGTAGGCGAAGAGTGAGCGAAGGGGGTGCAGGTACTGATAGAAGAGCAGCATGAAGGCAATGGAGATCAGGTAGGCCACAATGAGCTGCACCGCAATGAAGGTGTGGCAGTAATTGATCAAGATCTTGGTCCCCAGAAAGCGGAACACCAGCACCATGCTGATGTTCTCCAGCAGCCTCACAGTGTAGTGCACGGCCATGTGACTCCAGTTCTGAGTTTTTTCCACCAGGTCTCGCTCGGCCAACCTCAACTGCATCGCTGGCCAGCAGGAGAAGTTGATGGCCGAGTAGAGCACGGTGATCGAGATGAGCACCACCAAGGTGCCCACGTGGCTAAAGTTCTTATCAATGTTGTTGGGCATCTGGGCACCGCTCTTCCAGAACCTGACCCATGGCTCCAAGAGGATGATTATGAAATTAATCAGAAAGAAGGGCAACGCCTTAATTTTCAAGGTGGCCACAAAAAGCACCAGAATAATCAGGCGGGAAGTGATCTCCAAGCTCCGCCAGATGGTGACACAGATGACCTCTGTGACATGTACATGGACCTTGTAGTCATCGTACTTGATTTGGATGGCCAGCATGTTGCAGAGGGTAGCCCCGTAGGTGACAGAGGTCAGGGCAAAGATTATTAGGATCACTGCAGGAAGAAATACAGGAAAGGGGGGGGGGGTGTCAGATCATGCACAAGAGGCAGCTTGGTGTAGTGGAAATGATCCTAGATGTGGAATCAAAGAACCTAGCTGTGCTACTTACTAGCTGTATGATCTTAGGCAAATAATTTCCCATCTCTGGGCCTCAGTTTTCTCTTCTGTAAAATGAAGGGATTGGGTTAGATAATCTCTAAAGTCCCTTCCAGGTCGAGATCCAAGATCTTATGATCCTACAATCAATCCCTGTGACTCAGTGGTCCACAAACTTAAATGAGGCTCGAATATTCCAGTTAAGAGTGAGTTGGGAATATTTTCACCCTTGAAGCAACCTACTCCATGTGCCCAGTTCCATTTGCTACTAACTGCCTGCACTCAGTCCCTTAATTGACCCTCACCTAAATTCACTTCCTAGTGCTCCCAAGTCTCATTTTTTGTGGACTCAACTTGGGGTCCCTTCTAGCTAGAACACTTGGGCCCAGGAACAGAGTGGGAAGAACTGTGTGTCTCATATCTTCCCATCTGAATTCCTTTCTACCCTGGTAATAACATTTCCCTGGTGAAGTCCAGACAGGGATGCAAGGACACCAGCTCTACTAGACTTCAGAGTCTATTCTAAGCAATGATTGTCCAAACAGTTTGCTTATAGATAAAAATAGAAAAGGGGATAAGTAGAACAGACTAGATTATCAGAAAATTTAGATGATCGATAGTCGATAACTCAGTGTTGGATAAACATGCAAATACAAACTACTTAGAAAAAAGTCCCTATTTGGCAAAAACTGCTAGGAAAACCAGAAAGCACCTTGGCAGAAAGCAGATGTTTTAGACCAACGTTCTACACCTACAGTTCGCTTCATAGAAAGCTCAAAATGAACAGCCAATCTAAATATAAAAGGGCACATTGTAAAAAAAAATGGAAATGAATAGGTTCAGAGGCCTTTCATAGCTATGGCTAGAAAAAATTCTTAACCAAACAAGGAATAGAGACGATCACCAAAAAATAAGTAAGTTATTTCAAATGAATGAAATTGAAACACTTTGACCCCAAGAAAATCAATGCAGTTACGATTAAAAAAACAGTTAGAGTCAGGGTTTTCCTATCAACTGGGAAAAACAATGTTTGCACACCAAAGAGATCTCTGGTATCAAAGATATAGAGAGAATTAACACAAATCCATAAGATCAAGAGCCAATCCCCACGGCATAAATGTTCAAATGATATACATGATTTTCAATATTCAAATGATTTACAATTCTCAAAAGATATGAAAGCACACTCCAAGTTATCAACAATAAGAGAAATGGTAAATCAAAATAACTGTAGGGCTTCATTTCACACCCAACCAATTCATAAAGATGCTAAAGAACAGAAATGGTCAATGTTGGAAGGGCTGACAAAAGACAAGCACCCTGATACACTGTTCATGGAGTGGTGAACTGATCCAAACAAGCTGTAAAGCAATTCAGAACCCAAACCAAAGATCAGGGTCTAGATTTGAACTTCAGCTCCTCTGAATCCAGATAATTGCTTTTTCCCATTGCACCCCAAGCTGCTGCCTGTAGTTGTACTGACAGTTAGCCCAATCTTGTGCTAAATGGAACTGTGCTGGCAAACAGACATTCATACTATCACAGCTTCTGCTAGGGGTTATTAATCATATGCTCCCCATTTTCCAGGTGGGAAAATGAGCCAGTGACTGGTTAGGACACATTCCCAGATCACAGAGTCAGGACTGGGATGAAGGCCTTTTTTTTCTTGGCTTCTTGCCCTGGGCCACCTACCCCCCTCCCCCACATCCCCCCACCCTTCGCTTTTCATCTTCTGGAGGACGGGAGAACAGGTTTTCAAATACCAAAGCCAGCCCAGCCTGATTCCCCAGTGATTCAGACAAGACCTAGGACAGGGGGAAGCATCCCAGACCTGTCCTCCTAATTGCCACCTAGCTGCTTCTGGGAGCAGAGAGGGCTGGTTGCTGGGCCCTTCAGGCCAGCTGAAGCAAACAGGACCCGGGTGCCCAGGGAAGAAGCCTTGCTCACGCTAGCTGGAGAAGATGGGCAGACCCATGTGAGGCAGATGCCTGAGCAGGTCCCCACATGCGTTGAAGATCCAGCTTGCTGAGCCCATGGGTGACCTCCCCTGTTCCCACTCACCTCTCCCTAAGGGCATCTCGGTGGAGACCAAGGTAACATAGAGCTGGTAGGTCAGCTGGGGCACTGAGCCCAAGAAAGCCTGGATCTGGGACATGCGTTTGTAGGCGTTCCGGTGCATGGCCAAGACTCGGATGGAGTGGCCCACCTCCCATTCGATCAGCACTTCCCGGCCATTTAGAAACATCTTTTTTCGAGTAAGGCTGACATAGGGCTCCTCCTCATTGGCCTTCTGCCACACTTCAAAATACTTAGCCATAGCCTCCAGACATCTGCAGGAACAAAGCATGATGGGAACAAAACCAAAGGTGTCTTTGGGGGTAGGGACTGCCAAAAGCGAAAGTGGGGGAGGTACATCACCAATGCCCTTCCTCTCTCCACTCTGCTCATTTTTTTCAGTATTAAAGGGCCAGCACATCTCCTGCTGTAGTCACAGATTCTTGGATTCCCCTAGGGACCCCTTCTGCTTTGGGAAAGCTCCCATTGCCAGGAAGGTCCTTCCTGATGTCAAGGAGACTCCTCTGATTATATGAAAGCCCTCCCTCCTTCCCCCACACATAAACCAACCTTCCATGGCTCTTCATTACCTAGCAAATAAAATTCATTCCCCTTAGTGTGGCATTTGGGGCCCTCCACAATTTGGCCCCAACTGACGTTTTTGGCCATTGTATCTCCCACAGACACTCTGTGTTATGGTCCAGATACTCTCCCACCTCTGAACCTTTACTCACTCATCCTGTTCCCTTCCCCTGGCATGCCCTCTCTCAACTGCTCTTCCCCCCTCAGCTCTGTGTGTCTAGTACAGGGTTTCTTACTCTGGGATCCATGGGACCTCAGGTTCCCCTGGAGAGATGTCAGGGGCTCCAGGAATTTGGATGGGAAAATGACTTCTTTATTTTCACTCATCTCTGAGAGTTCCCATTTCCTTCAATTATTGAAAACCGTTATTCTGAAAAGGAATCCCTAGGCTTCATGAGTGAGCCAGCCTGCCTGCATGAGAGCCCTAAGGCCCAGCCGAAGTGAAGAAGCCTGGGCTAGCTCCTTCGAGGGGCCCCTCCAAAACGAGAGGGTTTGACAGGCTGACTTGGGAGCCTATCTCTGAGCTCTGAGTCCTTCCTAAGCTGTGCACAGCAAACTGTCTGCTTACCAGAGCAGTTCACACGGGCTAGTTGTGCCCGACCTGTGGACAAACGTTCCGAGCTCGTATCGGTCCGACCGGCCACAGTCGGACACACCTTTAATCTTGACTCTAACATAGTCATGTCCTTGTGGTCCTCTTCAAGAACGCAGGACAACAGTCAACCAGAGCAGAGATAAGCTCTGTGAAGGCAGCAGGCCTGGCTTATTCTTTGGCTCCTACACAGTGCCCAGCCCACGGTTTTCTCTCTAGTAGAGGTGGCTCCAAAAATACTTCCCTGGGGACTGAAGGGATCTGTCAGCTCACACCGAGTTGGTTCTCCGAGGCTGAGCCCCATGTTTCCTGCATGACTGCGCCACACCTCCTTCTGACCCACATTCCTTATCTCTCTTCAGCTTTCTGTCTGGCATCCAGGCCATACCTGTTGGCATGAGGAGTCCCGAGCTGATGCATTCTACTCTCCTGATCTCAGGCACTGTGTTACTTTGTCTCCCTACTCTGTTGCCTTTAACAATGAGACTAGGGGTGCTCTGGCTCCTTCCAAACCTGCCTGCCAGGGACAGGATACTGAAGCAGATCAAACCCTGCCTGCTTTTTATTGCTTATGTGATCTAGAAAAAGTCACCCCCCCTTCCTCTTTATGAGGCTGGACTAGGGTTCTGAGTTTCCTTCTAGCTTTAAGTGTTGTAACTACAAGTCCATCTGAATAAGGGCTTTCTTTATAGCATGAAATCACCCTGCTGTAACATGCCCTGGGAGAGGTGAGGAAGGAGGAAGGAGACAGGTACCAGTCACTGCCCGCTTCTAACTGGTAGGAAGGTTTCCGGGGGTCCCTCCAACATCTGGGGGCTGGGGGGGACCTGCCACGAAAGAGCAGAGTGGTGCTCACTGCTAGTGGTCCGGCTTTGGACAAAGTGGCCCATCTGGGAGATGGGAGTGGAAGCAGGTGGGGGTGGGAGCTGGGGGATGTTCACCAATTGGATGGGAATTCTGGATATCAAATAGAAAAGACACAAGGCCTTGTAGCCCTGGACCAAAGGATATATGCATGCATAGGCACATGATGGTTCCCATATCGGTTTTCTCGGTCACGCGATCATATGGCAGACACTATCCAATGATAATAAAATAATCCCAAACCCAATGGGGTACAGAGGCAGCACAGTAGCTCATCCTGGTGACATTTCAGTGGCGTGGAAGGCTGCCACTGGCTCAGGCCCCTAGCATAGCACCTGACAGAATGTACACACTTTAGAAATGCCAGAGGGACTGGATTTAAGGTCCCACATGTGTCTCTATAGCACTGTGCACGGTGCCAGGAAGACCTGGGTTTGAGGCTGTCCTCAGTTACTTCCTACATGTGTGACACTGGAAAATAATTTCATCTCTTGTGGTTTCCATTTCCTCATTTTGAAAATAGGAATACTCATAGCTCCTAACCCAGCAGATCACTTGCTAGAGATAATACGCGTAAAGCACTCCGCAGGTGCCAGCTATTTTTTATTAGATGGGGGGAGGGAGGGAAAATGGCACCAGTCTAGAACAAATACTATTCCTTCTCAGCACCAGTGTGTGAGAAGTCTGATGCCTACCTCGAGACACACAAGGCAGGCGCTGTGCTAGGTTGGAGGAAGATGCCAAGATGAAAATGAAAGAGGACCTCCCTCCCCTCCAGAAGTTTACAGTCTACGAAAAGGTCACTACGATGAGTCAGTTGGACAGAGGGTTGGTTACTCACCTGACAATTGGTCCCATGAGGATAAGATGCATAAACAGCAAGAAAGGCTTATCTTTGGCCAGATCCCTGTGGACGAAAATGAGGGTCAGCTGGTCCATGATGGAGGCAACCAGGAAGAAGACGACAGTGTATGTCATCCAGTAGGTGTCATTGCTCTTTTGATAGACGTTAGCCATGTACAGGGCAGACACTGCCTCGCCACAGTAGAGGAATGTGGAGAAGAGAATGCTATATGGAAATCTGCACTGAGAAGTGGGCCCTTGGATAATGGACTCTTGTGGGGTTGGGTGGTAGGCACCTACATCATCGCTGCTCTCATAAACCCTGTCGATGCCCAAGCTACTGGCTGGCCTCAGTTGATCCTCTGAGGGCTTCATGGGTTCAGCTGCTTGCCGAGATGGAACAGAGAAGGAGACATTCTTGGACCTTGAGGGTGACTCGAGAATACTGATTAGTTGGAAGAGGGACTTCCTCTCCTGAGAGATGGCCTTGCTGGTTTTGGGGAAGAAGGGGGTGGAGACATGGCTTTTGTTTGGGTCTGCCGTGGCGGCGGTAGGTGCTGCAGTTGCCGCTGGTATGTGGGCTGATCACCCAAGTCAGGATGCTCTGAGGACTGGAAAAACCTGCCACCACTCCCCAGAGACTTCCCTCCTTCTGGGACTGTGTAGAATGAGCCAGCTTCCTGTGGCTGGTCCTCTTGCAGGTGGCCCAGAGAGAGCATAGAGGCCCCCAGGGGAGTTCAAGTTCAAGGCTTCTGCCTGCACCCTAGTGGCCCTAGAGAAGAATTTAAGCGGTGACCAAGGGTAGGAGAGGAGGACTGGACTTTGACAGGTGAGTGACCGGCAGATGCTCGAGTGTCCTGGGCCTTTCTAGACCCTGCTCATCTCCCCCATTGCTGGCTCGCTCCACAGTGACCTGGGACTGCTTCCCGGACAAACCTTGGCTGTCCTGTGCAGAGCTCCGGCTGAGTACAGGGGTGACAGGAAGAGGGGCTTCAAGATCTTGAGTTCTGGGGTGGGGCAGGTAAACAGGAACGGTGCTCCCAGGCTCAACTCTCTGGGGAGAGAGACAAAAAGAACAAGACAGGAGTGAGTGAGATGGGAGAGAGACACAAGGCCACGGGGACAGAGAGATAGACACAGGGAGAGGGAGAGACACAGGGAGGTGGAGGTGGGGCTGGGCAGGAGGGAGGAAAAGAGATAGAGAAGACAGACAGACACAGAGAGGTGGGGTATGGGAAGGAAGGAGAGACAGAGAGAGAGAGAGACAGAAGTAGACACAGACACATGCAACAGGCAAAGAGACAGAGAAAGGAGAAAACAAAAGAGCAGCGTGCTCCTAGCCTCCACCCGAGAGAAACTTTGCTTCCAAGAGACAAAGCGTGGGTAGAAGCAAAGCACCACCTCCGCGTCCATGCCTGGGCTGTGCCCTACCTGTTGCTCCGATAAGCTCAAGGGAGCCGGTCCTCCAGCACAGGTGCTGGGTGGCTGACCCCAGCAGTGACAGCAAGGCAAAGGCTGGGAGTGGGGGTGCTGGGGAAAGGAGGACAGGAGAGAAATGGGTGGGACTAGCCAGGGACAAATCAAAGCAGCCTGCCTGCCCGTTACAGGGTAGGAAGGCACTTCGACAGGGGGATGCTCCGAGGCAAGGGAGGAAAGAGAAGCCAGCGGGTGGCTCCTGCCACTCCCCCGAAGCAGCTGTGCCCACACTGGCCCTGGCACCTCAACCCTGGAGGAAGCATCGCTCTAGACGGGCTGACTCGCTGGTAAAGGCAGAGCGTCCTCCAGCCTCCCTGGCTTCCCACGCATGGGCTCACACCCTAGGGACTCACTTACTCACCCTATGGTGCTTAAGCAGGTGGCTCCTCCTTAGCTTGGGTGGGAGCTCCCTGGGTCCTACTGCCCATCAGATTTTCAACTCTACAGCTTCCACTTGGCTGCCAACGTAATTTTCCTAAAGCCTAGTGGTCTGGCCGCGTCACTCCCCCACCCAGTAACCTCCAGTGGCCCCCTCTTTCCACCAGGACCAAATACAAAGTCCTCTCTTTGTCATTTAAAGCTTTTTGAAACCTGGCCCCTTCCTCCTTTCTTGCCTTCTTCCACCTTAATCCCCTCCCCACACTCTATCCTAGTTCCGAAGGTCTCCTTGCAGTTCCTTTCCCAGCACTCTCTTCGCCCAGCCCTGCTCTCAGGCTTGGAATGCTCTCCCTCTCACCTCCGCAAGGCTCCCGGCTTCCCCGCTTCCTTCAAGGTTCAGCTCTTGTCCAATCCCCGCTTCTGAAGAAGACCTTTCCTGGTGTCCTCAGCTGCTAGTGCCTTCCTTTCTGAGTCTGCCTTCTATTTACATGGTCTATTTCTTGCACGTACCCAGTTCTTTCCATGTTATCTCTCCCATTAGAAGAATGGGGGTTCCTTGAGGAGTACCCATAGCACTTAGCACAGTGGCTAGCACATAGTAAGTGCTTAAAAAATGCTGACTGGGAAAGCGCTGGAAGCAGACCCCAAGTTTGCCTTTCCAGCCAAAAGGGGACTTGTCTGGAGAGGCAATGCTAAAACCATTGAGTTAGAACTGGAAAGAAGCTTAAAGTCCATCTCATCTGTTCCTCTCCAAACACAGCAGTTTTACAGATGAGGTTCCTCAGTAAGGCACAGTGGCTTGCCCGATGTGACAGAGGCAGGATTTGAAGCCAGATCTCCTGATTGCAAATTTGGGGCTTTTGTCTCAGCACCACACACACACACACACACACACACACACACACACACACACACACACAACCCCTCTCTGAAGACTGTGGGGCATCAGTTCTCAGGCTCGTCCTCCATAGACTGAGCCTGAATTCATGTGCCTTGGTTTCTCCAGCAGCCAGTTGGCAAGAATAAATAAAGACTACAATACAGAGGAGCTAATTCTACAGCATTAATGCTCAGTCAGCTTTTGTTTCACAGATCTCATCGGAATTAGGATTCCTGTGGGGCATGGTCTGGTCCTGTATCCCTCACCTAGGCTTGGCATGGGGCTGTATGGGGGAGGGCCGGCAGGCACCTTACCAGCCTCTTCTCCCAGACCCCCTCCTTGCTCTTTCCCCTTCCCTGGCCTTCGAATTCCCTAGCACTTCTGCTCCCTAGTCTTTTTGGGCTCATTTTCCAGTTCCCAGTTCCCAGGCCCTAACAGATACAGCTGGCCAGAGGTTACCCTGGCCTTTGCTTATCACTCTTCCTTTCTTCAGCTAGAATGGGCCAGTATGGCTGGAAGAGTTGAGCTGCCAGGGCCTTGAGAGGTCACTAGGATCTCCTCTGAACACATCAGCTCCCTCCTCAGGCCCTCCCCAGCCACTGGTCACTGGCTTCTGAGCTTCCCTGCAGGCAGTTAGTACCAACTTGCAGAAGAAAGAATGGCTGACCCTTGTGCTCCCTGCACCTTCACCCAGATCCCTAGATCTCACTTGCACCGAGTGCAAATCCCTGAAGTGGGCCCCAAACCTCTCACTTCTCCCCAGAGCCCCTCAGCAGCAAAGGACCCTGGGGGAGGGGGACGCAAAATTGCCACACAATCCCTCTTACTCAGGACAGGCTTTTCCCACTGCCAGCCCCTGAAGCAGCACTGGTCTACAGCACATTTATACCCAGTCCCTGAAACCAATCCATGTTGCAATGCCCGGCCCCCAACCCCCCCTTTTCGCTGGTACCAGGCCAGAGGCTCACAGCATCTCAGGCCTGGAAGGTACCCCAGAGGCTGCCTCGTCTAACCCGTACACACCTGAACGAGAATTACTCTGTCAAAGTTGCCCTTCGGGGCCCCTGAGAGCTGTCCTGCTGAGGCTGCAGAAGGCGGAGTGGGGCACGGTCGAGCATCAAGCTATGCTAGTGGCTGGTATTCTAGTTAGGCCTAGGGAAAGCTCCACCCGTCCTTGGTGCCTAAACCGGTGCCATCCACCAAGACAAAAAGCTCGAAGTAAATATTTGCTGCTGCTATCGGCAGCTGAGCCAGAAGCCCCAAGGTAGAAATGAATGTCATTTCAAGTTGCCAGCCCTTGTTGGCTCAGCCTCGTCACCCGTGGGAGGTAGGTTACAAATGCTTGACGCCCTATGTCCTAGGCATGCCAAGAGAAGGAAGAGGCACGCCCACGGATTGCCAGCTCACTCAGTGGGGGAGCTAGGAATAGAAGGCAGCCTCTGAACTGCCATCAGGAGACCTTTTCCTGAGTTTTTCTTTTTCTCTCTCCCAGGAGCTCCCAGCTGATGCTGTCAGGCCACGGACAACGAAGGGACATCAGTGCTCGTTTCCTAAAGGGCCGGTTATGCTCCAGTAGTGGACTAAGGAGGGAGAATGGTGGGGAGCAGATAGCTGGGGAGACTGGGGAGACTGCAAGGAAGGCTCCTGCTCCTCAGCCCCACCTCCTAGTATAGTGGAAAGAAGCGGGTCAGAAGACCTGTCGGTTCGAAGCCATCCTCTGCCCCTTGAAGGCTGTGTGACCTAAAGCAAGTCCCTTTCCCTCTCTTGGCTTCAGTTTTCTTCTGTAAAGGGCGGTGGTTGAATTCAGAGTCTGTAAGGTCCCTTCTGGTCAGGATCGATGGGTCAGGTTCAAACACTGGCAAAGGGTCCTGCAAGAGAAGCCGGGTGACAACAAAGGTGAGGGGAAATGATCAATCAGCAGTCCTGGAATGCCCGGGGCAAATTGGAAATTAAGCATTGGGCTCCTTGTGAATCCCAGCCAGTCACCAGCCGGAGCCTGCGGGGGAGGGAGTAGCTCGATGCCTATGGCATATAGCCAAGTGTGCTGGGAGAGTGTAAGCACCCTGAAGGCAGATATGGGCCATTTCAGTTTTGGTTTTATACCCCACTGCCTAACACATAGTAGTAGGTGCTCAGGAACTGATTTTGAACTGACTCCCTCCTCTACTGTTGCCCCCTATTGGTATTTTAGGGTTAAATCTAAATGGTCCCTGAAATTCCCTTCAATTATTAAAATGGATGCTGCTGTGATTTCTGGTTCTCTACAACCTGCCTCCCCTACCTTTGTAATCTTATTTCCTATTACTCTGCATCATGGCTTTCTTGTTCTAGGTCAGACTCACTATTCTATCTCCAGCTCCAGCACCTAGCTGGCCGCCATACCCGGAAGGCTTTTGCTCCTCAGCCGGCCTCTTAGAATGCCAAGCATCCAGACCCCCAAGCCCTGCTACACACCTGGAAGGTGACCTCCTTCAACTTCCAACGGTTTCTCTCCTCCTGGAAGCATCAGCTTCTTCACCTCATTTGTGTCATACAGACCCCTCGGGCAGGCAGGAAGTCCAGGGAAGTCTAGGAAGCCTTGCTAAGAATCAGGTTTTCAAAGAATTGAAAGAAATGCTAGATTTCAGTTAGAAGGTAGTGAAAAGAAAGGTGTTATTTTTTCCCCCATCTGAGTTAATGGACTCCCTAAAATCTATCTAAGGTTACTAAGAATATAAAGCTTAAAACTACACTGAGACTTTTGGGACACCCTGTACACATACATATGTATACACACGCACATGTGTCTATATATGTATGTATATACACACATGTATATATGCAGATGTGTATGCATATGTGCACATACACATGTATATGTACATGTGTGCATGTATACACATGCACATGTGTCTGTATATGTATGTATATACACACGTTTATATGCAGGTATGTATGTGTAGGTGCATATATACGTGTATACGTACTTGTGTGCATGTATACACATATATTAATATCGACACATATAGTACATTATACATCTATGCATGTCTCTGTATACCTAAATCTATACATATGTGCCTATATACACACATCAATATTGATATTGACATCTATTTTTATATATCTCCAGTCCAGAATCTGACCCGAGTTGCACTGTATTTGCTCCACACAGCAGGAATAGTCTAAGAAAAAGTGTTTATTGGACGTTTATTTCCGAAGTGTATGTGTGTTTGTGTGTATGTGCACATCGTTGTAGTTCTATTGTTTTGTTCTCTCCACATTCTGGCCTTCAAGCAACATATTTTCTTTCTTTCTTTCTTTCTTTCTTTCTTTCTTTCTTTCTTTCTTTCTTTCTTTCTTTCTTTCTTTCTTTCTTTCTTCCTTTCTTTTTTTGGTGAGGCAATTGGGGTTCAGTGACTTGCCCGGAGTCACACAGCTAGTAAGTGTTATGTGTCTGAGGCCGGATTTGAACTCAGGTCCTCCTGACTCCACCGCGCCACCTAGCTGCCCCCACGCAACATATTTTCTATTACATTTTAACATGAGCCTTCTGCTCCAGTCAGACCAATCTCCTCACTATCTCCTTCACAGATCATACATATTCCCACCAACAGGCCTTCGCTCATGCCATTCCCTCTGCCTGGAATGCCTCTCTCTTCCCTGCCCCCTCTAAATCTTCTCCTGTCTTTAAGACTCT